TTTTGTGCTAGAAACTGCTAAGTACTGTCGAACCTATGAGGATGATTCATTGAATTGTAGGTATGTATTGAGCGCTTTTATGATCTTATTTCTGCTAGAAACTGGAAATGCAAAGATGAATAAGACATGGCCCTTGCTATTAAACAACTTAATGGGGAGAGAGAAAAACCTAAATACATAAGCAGTTCAACATATTTTTGCATGGAATGATATGGGAGCACAGATGAGTGGCATATGTATTAGGGAAAGAAGGGTAGATGACTTCCTGGGGGAAGTGGCACTAGAGTAGAGCTTCAGAGGACAGAGAATTGGCATACGTGTGTCAGCACTTAGTGTGTGCAAAGCAAGAGTTTCCTTGACTTAAGGGGAGGAAGTCCCTCCAGAGGGAGGAAACCTTGGGATAATTGCCTATGTTTCTCTAGGGTTTGTGCAAAGGCAATAGACATGAGTTACTATAATGCAAGGCACACTGTGTTGTCATGTAGTGCTTAACATAAAAACAATGCCGTGTTCTAGAATGGGAATCAGAAAACATAATATTTTTAAACTGTAAGTCTTTATATCTGTCACAAGTTCATGATTGTAAGCAGCATAAAGTGACTTTGGTTAACTTAAGCAAAACAGAGATTTGTTGGGAATACATTGGGCAACTCAAAAATTAATGGGAAGGCAGGAAATGGACAGGAACCTATGTTGAGATACACTGGGAACCCAGGCAGGGGTATGCTGCTTGTGCTGTGAGGATGGGGCCACCGTGAAAACCACTGCTGTTCCTAAACTCTGGTCAAAGTGTTACCACAGATGAGTTATCAGTACCCTTTGTCTTTGTACCATTTCCTCAAGATTCAATGTCTTCAGGTGGAACATCCAGTTGATTGAGCTTAGGTCGATCGTTCTTACTCCTGGGACTGGGAAGGATGTTCTGGCTTCTGGAATGGGAGGTAGAACCTACCCCTAAGGCTTACACAGTGAGTGCAAGGCTCCCTAAAACCAAAAGTATTTAGAGGTGATTGATTCTTGGGAATATGGAAGGAAGTAGTGGGAAGCTGAACCACCTAATTTCTAAATGATTTTCCATTTCTATAGCGGTATGAAAATAATGTGCTTCTAAAAGGCTCCCTTAAATACTGGATTCCCCCGCCTCCTTACCCATACCCAAGCTACACTGTACTCTCCCTTCCTTTAAGAGATGAGGCACTCTCATGACTCAGTTTCTATGCTCCTCCTTTATGGTGCTGGGCTGATCTTTCCACCAGCATCCTTCCTCCCCCCACAGCAGATGAACATACATCCTGCAGTTGAGCTCACATGTCTCCTTTTCCTTGTCATTTCAGCTCCGTATAATCTCCCTCCATCAATAGGTAGTAATGAGTTACTCCTGGGCTTCCACAGCATTGTGTCCCTTTAACAGAGCACTTACTCTGCATTGAAATTTGGGTGCACATTGGTCTGCAGAGCCAAATCTTAGCATGCGAAGGTGAAGGACAGTCTTCCTCATTTCTCTGTATTTGTAGCTCCTAGCACAGTGCCCTGTCGACTCAGTTGCTACTTTAAAGGTTAAACATACCTTCTGCATTTTGGTTCACACTGATAACATCACAGAGATATGTCTAAGTAAGCATTACAAAGGTGAACTTCACACAACTTTAGATAAACTATTCACCACAAGACGTTGGGAGAGTCAACCTACCACTTTGAGAGAGCCTAAATTAAAGAGGTATTGGTGTACTTATTTTACTTGTGTTCTGCACTAGATGGATTGGTGCAGAGATCAGAATTCAGGTTTGGTGCCCAGGAAGACCATACTATGTAGGGAATGGGGATCCTGGAAACCTCCCCCTTCCCAACCTTCCCACTCCCCATCTTGGGTTTCAAGTATTGGTTCCCAGGGGCAAGAGAGTGAGACAGCATATTCCAGTGTGTGCTCTGTTTAGTGGTGGAGCTTCCTGTTTCTTTTTTAAAGATGTGTGTGTTGCATGCAGGTGTTCATGGAGGAGGGTACATGGCCTGACCTACCTGGGCTTCACTCGGCCTCAGCTTCCTAAAGTGTGAATTGGCTAACCCACAAGAGCTAGCTTGGTTTCACATGAGGGCTGGGGACAGACTAGCCCTTAGTTTTCAGGTATCAGTCATGGATTCCCCAGGCCCTTTTCCAACCTTGCTTGTAGGGCATCTGTCTCCTTGAGCAGAGTATTCCAGTTACCCGAAAAACCTGCCAGAATCAGAAGGCTTGGCTGCTTATATTTAACTTTGAGGCCACTGGCACACTCAGCAGATTCTTTACCTCTTTGAAAAGAAGGAGAAGCTGCAGAATGGTGTGTTGCTATGGTTGGAATCTCTGTTTTAAAGTTGTAGGAGGTTATTCTAATCTAGAAAGTGAAATTGTAACTGCATTAGGAGGTTTGGGATTACGTGGAACTGACCGAATGTTGTGCATGTTGGTGAAATAACACCTGGGAGCTGTTTTGCAGTTCATGGAGGCTTTGAGGAATGGGCCTCTGTCCTCTGTCAACTGCAAAGGGGAGAGCAAGTGCTCTCTCATCTCAGGGAATTAACTGCGGGGTGCAAGGAATCATCGGGTGCTCTCAGAGTGGATTAGAAGGGATCTTGTCTTCAAACTTACTTGGTAGTGAGACCATCCCAGAGGACAACGCCAAGTTCTCCATCGGTCAGCAGATAGTAAGAGAGCATACACCATACATACTGCTTGCAGAAAGTAGCAAGTACTCGTGTGATGCCTGTCTTCAAGCTTTCCCAGGGCAGTGGCACCAGCCTATATTAAATGACTACTGCAAAATACTAGGCAGTTGATGTTTAAGTGCTAAGTTGTGTGCTTCCAATCATAATTGCTGTGGCAGTTGAGGGAAGGAAGGGCAGTGTAGGGGGAAGGTGTGGGGATAAGCTGAACAGGTAAGTGGACTGGAGAGAACTTTACAGTAATTGTGGAGGAGACGGTGAAGCTAGAGGATAGCATTCTTAGCTGGGATTTGGAAAATGGAGATGACAGGTTCACGGGATGCTGAGGGGACCAGCGAGACTGACGACATCTAAGGGAGGGGTCTGATTGTAGACAGCCTTGAAAACAAACAGAATCGGAACATAAAGCTATAGCCAGCATGGTTAGGTGCAAGCGAGGGGCATGCTGGCAGTAGAATGTAAGGGCAGGTGATTTCCCTGCCGTGTGAGAGTTGGACGATAGTGGGGCGACAGTTTGAGTGTCCTAAGGAAACTTCTGAGCCTGTTGCGTTGGCCTGTTTACAGATTCAGGATCTGAACTTAGGGAAGTAAGTAGTTACGGTGGAGGTAAAACAGAGGAGCAGGTCACCAGGGTTCATGTCTTGCCCCTTGACTCCCCCAGGAAACTCACTTTATTTTGTCTTAATTAAGTGTTCCTCCAACAGTGGGGCCCTTTGTTATTGCTACTGTTGAATAAGAGAAAAAAGTTGTTCAGGATCACATTACCTAAAGGCCTCTAGACACTTACGAAGAAAGTAGCAGCATAAAACCATAATGGGAAGGAAGCCTTGAGTGTTTTAGAAGCAAGCCAAAACCAGTCACGCTCAAAGAGAGAAGCAAAGGTTCTTCTTGTTGACGAACGACATGGGTCATAGTCAGTATAGGGCAGAAATGTTGACCCCTCCAACTAGAATTTCCAAATTTCACCCTTTGTCGAGTGCGATATAGACAAATCTTGAGCTTTCCTTCAAGGCTGGACCCTGGGAGCTGCACATGCCCCTCTCCAGGGGAGACCCCACAGAGCCCTGACACCTTTACACAGACCTTAACTTTAACTTGTCCATTGCTTTTGCCACGCTCCCCATGCAGACTGAAGCTGTGTGAGTGATCACCTTTAGATAGGGTGCTGGTTTGAAAGAAACAGGTGACTGTAAGTTACTAAGTTCAGAGGACCTTACATGGAAATAGTCTTTGTGAAGCCTCCAGAAGCAATACATGTATGTATCACACACTTGAGCCAGCAGAGTCCTTGAGTGGCTCGGACTCCTTTCAGAACTGGACCACTGCCCACCCAGAGTGGTTCGGTTGGTTTAGCATCACCCTGTGCACCGAAAGGTTGCCTGTTTGATTCCTGGTCAGGGCATATACCCGGGTTGCAGGTTTGATCCCTGGTCAGGGCACGTATGGAAGGTAACTGATCGATGTTTCTCTCTCACATTGATGTCTCAAAAAACCCCCACAAAAACGGACCATTACTTAGTCCTGGGGCTGAGCCAGGCTCGCAGAGGCTGCTGGGTGGGAGTGGTATCTTGAGACAGCGGTGGTTTCCCCAGGCTCCTGCTCCCGGGTGTGGAGAACCAGGGAACATTATAGTGACCAGTAATGGCTTAGCACAAAGTTCTTAACTGAGCTCCATATTGAAAGTGTATATCTACACATACATACTCTCACACACTCCTTTATATGCATATTCACATACACATATATCCTTAGTGAGGCCTCAATTTTATTAGCAATCCACTCTCTGTTACCACTTAGAATTCTTAGTCGTGTGACTAGTATCACCCAAAGTTGTAATGTGCTGGCATGTGTCATTCCTGACTCAGATCTACTGTAAAAAATAAAAATAAAAATAAATCACACTTTCTTTTCTTGAAGTGTGTTGAAGTGTGTGGGTCCTCAACACCTCTCTGACTCTGATTGGGTTGGGAGTAGGACTCAGGGTGCTGAAATATGTTTCTGTGCCTTGTTTTGCCTGTGCGCTGTTCTCCGCTGGCAGAGGGCTCCTCACTTTGGCTCCACATTGGAGTCATTTGGGGAGCTTAATAAAATACACATACATGGGCCCTATCCCTGGAGGTCTGGGTGAGGCCTGGGTACTAGGATTTTAAAAATTCTGGGTAATTCTAATGTATGGCCAAGGTTGTACCTTGCCCCTGTCCAATTTTCCACCAAAATTTTCCACCTGCCTGAAGTAGAAGCCAGGTCTGAATCTGCCTTTGGATCTAGGCCATTACGGTTCCTAATTTTAGCCCTAGACTTTTAGATTTATAGATGGAGAGGATGAGACCCAGAAAGAGACTGAGTTTCTTTCCAGAGTAGTCCTTTCAGGTTGGCCAAAAAGAGACCACTGACAGATACTTGCCGTATGTATTGGAACTGCAGTTTTAGGCTAATCTTCATACACCGTGTCATTCATACGTGATTTATATTCATCTTTAAGATGAAAGTCACAGTGTCATTATTTACTTTTAACTTTACAGGATAAATATTCTAGTTGTAAAAACAATTTTTTCCTCTCCAATACAAACATGCCTATGATACATGTGAGCACACATACAAATATTTCATGAGGTGAAGAAACTCAGAAAGACGCCAAGTGAATTCCCATCGATGGCTTCTGAATCACTAGCTCTCTACTCCTAGCTTTGGCCCCGTGGGAAACGGGTAGACCTAGCAGACCTAGCAAGAAGTTTCAGATTACCAGTTTGAAGTGACTGCTGAGAAACATTATTTTTCTTGTAATGGAGTTATTTTTTAGGCAAGGCTTTAAAAAAATAGCATGACTCTTTCCCTGAGAGTAAATTAAGTTACTTTGCCAAAAAGAGCCTTAAACTGGGAGCCCACACAGAGAAATCGGTGCAGAGAGAGAAGACGGTGGACCCATCCTGCTGAGTGTTCCCAGGACTCTGTGTGAGCTGTATCAGAGTTATGGTAGCGGCATCTCTTGTTCAGTGACTGTGGGATTGAACAGTGAGTCATGCTTAATTGGAGCAAGAAGCACACTCTGGTTTGTGTGCAAAGCAGATAAACTGGAGCTGAAAGGCCAGTGGTTGGCAGAGGGCCAGAACCCGTGAGCCCGGCCCCACGCTGCCACATGAGGCTCCAGGGACCTTAAGTAGGGCTGAGCGTTCTGTCCTGGGCTAGGACTCGCTCCTGCTAAGACGTGGTCTGGCGAGATGACCACCCCTCTCTGTATCTTTTATCTATTCCGAGTTGGCTGCTCTTCCCATCTTAGAGCTCCTTTTCTGGCCTCTTCGAGTCCCTGTTTCCTGTCCCCCTCCTTGCCTGTTTGGAACTTTGTGACTTGATTCTTGGTGGTGGTGCTGCCCTGTGGGTTGCTTGAAAGTGTCCACGCCTCCGCTCAGCGTGTCTTGAAGATTGTTATTTTGACTTCATGGGTCAATTTGGTGGGTGGCTCGACTTGGGGGTAATTCTGAATAGTAACTCTGGAATTTTATGAATCAAAAAGACAGAGTCCCACTGCAAGCTGAAATGTGGGAGAATGCCTCGCCGGCTCCTGTGAGTCACACAGGGAGGAGGAGAGGAGACCGTTATTGGTGCTAATAAACACTTTGCTTTTTTCTCCCCTGCAGGTCCCCCTCCTGCTTGTTACAGTCCCAGTAGTCCTGTCCAGGTTCTAGAAGACCCCAACTACTTTTTCCCAGACTTTCCGCTCTACTCTGGGAGGCATGAAGCGTCTGCTCTGACGGTGGAGGCCGGCAGCACCATCAGGGAAAAAGTTGGTAAGTTCCTTTACTGGCACTTGTGTTGGAAACACAAAAATGGTCTTATGTGTCTCATTTCTAGCTCTTTCGCATAATTTTTTCTCTGTGCTTATTTAAAAAAATCAGCATATGGGATTATTGGTTGTCTCTTTATTGGCAGGTGCCTTATTTTTAATGTTTGTGCTATGGTGTTATTAAACAATTTTATTATTAATTTGTGAGTTCCTAGGTATGTAGGAACTTCAGCATGATACCATTTATTCCCTAATTTTTCTCTTAATTCCAAAATATTTTTTTGTATCCTTTCTCAGAATCTTTCCTTATTATTTTTCCTTGTCTACTTCATTTTAATCTTTTTGCAAATAATTCAGCAGTTCAGAAAACATTCAGAACTGTAGTAGGGAAGGAACAGCCTCCTTTGTAAAAACTCTCTGCCTGTTTTTGAGGGCTTTCGGAGATTGGTAAAACTATGAGGGGATTTTTAAAACCACTTTAGGGATGGATCTCAGGGTCCCAATGTGCTTATGAAAAGAGAATTTAATAGTTTTTGTGCCTCATGAGACCCCATTCCTTTTATTATTCATACAAAAAATCATTTTCCTCTGGAAATATATTTTTATTTCAATGGAAGTTTATTTAAAAATGTTGACTTTTATTTGGATTTGCTCGTTCGCCTTTCAGATGGGTTATCCGAGGGTAAGGACGTCCTTTTGCCCTCCTGCCCCCAGCATCTGTCAGGATGCCTGAATACCACGGGTTTTAGCCAGTCTTTGTTGAGGGAATGATGGCCCCGGGCAGGGCACACTTGGGTTGTTCATCACTTCTTCTTTTTTTTTTAAATATATCTTTATTGATTTCAGAGAGAGGAAAGGAGGGGGAGAGAGAGATAGAAACATCAATGATGAGAGAGTCATTGATCGAGCCCACAACCCGGGCATGTGCCCTGACCGGGAATCGAACCCTGATCGCCTGGATCCCAGGCTGATGCTCAACCGTTGAGCCACGCCCGGCCAGGCTGTTCATCACTTCTTATGATTATACGGCAGTTCATCTTGTGTGGACATTCCATGATCTGCTTTTACTGTTTAAAATGTTTTGCTGTGGAATATTTCAGTTGCAGTGCACATTCTCTGAAGGTAAGGAATAAGTGTGGATTTACTCCACGCGTAATCCTGTGAGGCAGATTGGAAGCCTGTCCGTGTTACAGAGGAGAGTGGGTTCAGAGAAGCCAAGTAATATGCCTGAGGTCACAGAGGTGTGATTTTGGGGAGACAGGGAGAGTGATATAGTCAGAGTTGAGCTTCAGGAACCAGTCTGGGAAGTTCTTTAATTTACTCTATCATTATTTCTTGACTGTGGATCAGAATAGTACTGATGCAGCCTGTGACTATAACACAGAAAGCTATAACACCACCCTCTGGTGCTTGAATTCTAGTAAAGAATAAACATAGTGTGGACTGAAAAGAGAAGAGGCCGGCAGCTAGAGGTATTAGGAGGCTACTCAGGACATCTGAGCAACTGGTAAGGCGAACTAGAACTTGGGCAGTCGCCGAGGACATGGAAGCTAGGGCTGCAGTCTTTGCTGTTGTAGGGACACTAAAAATGTCATCTATTGTCACCTTTTCTTGTGTTTTAACATCAAAGAGAATAAGTGGTATATAATCCTAGTGGTAAACCTAACGACAGGTATCTGTGTACATCCTCATGTATATGTGTGAGGATACGTATATTTATATATCTCCTAAGCATATTACACTACCTTTATTTTTTCTCTTTTCACTGTGGACTAAGAGAACCTAGCTTGGCAGTTGATTAAATGTAGAAAGCAAAGGAGAGGAAGGGTCAAAAGTAAATCTGAAATTTCTATCAGGATGACTCCTATGAGGATGCCATTTATAGGTTAAAAAAAAAAAAAAAAGAGGCAACCATGGGGAAGAAGATGGTTTAGGGGGAAATGAAATGTTCTATGTATATATAGAAGCATAGAACCATCATTGCATGGAGTTGTAGAACTGAAGGCTGCTCAGAGATGGTCTAGTTCATCTTCCTCAATTTACAGGTGAGGCTATTGAACTAGAAGAGAGTGATTTGCTCGGAGTCATGCCAGTAGTAAGTGGTAGAAATTTTACAATCATAATGCTACATGATATCCTTAATATACTACTTGTACTGTTGTGAAATGGGGTGGATTTTATATAATTCACCCAAGGATATGCTTTCATTGATTCCTAGAGAGAGAGGAAGGGGGAGAGGGAGAGAAAAACATTAATGTGAGAGAAAAATATCCGTGGTTGCCTCCCCTACACATCCCAACCGGGGATTGAACCCGAAGCCTTTCGGTGAATGGAACAACACTCCAACCAGCTGAGCCACCCAGCCAGGGCTAAACTGTATATTTCGTGGAGCTCGTGTAGGTGTTCTTTTACTGGTTAAATGTTTGACCCCCCTCAATGGGTTGTGTGCTATGGAGACCCAGATGAGAATGTGTGATCCTTACCTTTAAGGAGCTTAAAGCCTGTGTAAATAAATAATTGCCATCTCCTGTGATTATTGCTCTCCTGAGATATCTGTCAGTGGAGTGGGGATGTTTGAGAAGGAGGGCTCAAGCCTGCTGGGCTGCAGCAGGAAAGCATTTCCTCAGAAGGCAGCTTTGGCACCCTGACATGAAGCATGTCTAGGAATCTCCCGGGAGGACATGGTGAGATTCATCTTTCTAGGCAGAGGAATGAATTTGAATGAATTTGAGCGAAGGCCTAGAGGTCAGAGAGAGCCAGCGTGTCTGGGAACTGTATGTCCTCAGGTATTGCTGCAGCTTAAACTCCAAGGGGTTGCCTGTGAGGGTGGTAGGTGGTGGTGGTGGCATGGACTGTTCCTGGATAGGTAAGGCTGTACCTGCTACACGGTGTGATAGGATGTCAGTTTCATCCTGTAATTAATTATTGAGGAATTTTGTGCAGAGGATTGATGTGATTAGGTTTTCCTGTTTGAACAATCTTGCAGGGGAGTGTGGGGGAGTGTGGGAGACAGGCTGTGGTCTGAGGGGTGGGTTTGGAAATGGGAATGAGACTGGTGTTGGAGAAATAGATGAGCAGGCTTTTGGAATGAATGGCCTGGATATGAGACGCTGATGGCTTATAAGTGTGGGATGAACACAGACTTTGTTGTGGAATGAGTTAGATACTGGCTCTGTCTCTTCCTACCTCTGTGACCTCTGTGATTTACCTTTTCTAAACCTCTTCTTATCTGTAAGATTGGGGGAATTAATGATTCATATGGAACAAATGAATATATGGAGAGAACTTAGTACAGTGGCATATCATACGCACTTTAAAAATGGTTCTTGTGGTTGTATTGTGGTTATTAATAATCAACTTGGAGATTGGCATGGGAATAAAGAGGAGAGTTGGGAGAGAGATTTTGGAGGTAGAATTGAAAGGCAGTCCCTGACTAGATGTTGAGGGTAAGGGAGAGGAAGTGAGTTTGGAAAACTACCAGGTTTTTGGCTTGGCAAAAATTAGACAAGGCAGGGATACGGGGGTTGGTTGGGTGGGTAAGTCTTGCGGGGTGAAGAAGACATGTTGAGTTTGAAAGACTCATGGGCCATCGGCTGGCGGTTGTAGATGTGTGGGTCATGAGTCGGTCGTTGAAGATGAGCAGTGGCTGTGATGACCTGGGAGACTCTATTGAGTGAGGGTGGAAGAGCAATCAGGGCAGAGCTGTGGGAAATACCAGAACGTAAGGGGCAGAGGAAGTAAAGGGAGTCAGGGAAAGAGTGGACAGAGAGGCAGGGGCTAGGACCTGGTTTCGGAGTTAGGAGAGCATTTTAAGAAATGGGTGATCATCATGCCAGATGCTTCAGAAGGGTTAGTTGTGTAATATGAGAGCTGGAAAATTCTCACTGGGCTTGGTTACTAATCAGAGCAGTAGGGAGGGCAGTGCACGGAGCATTTGGAAAGTGGAGACAGCAAGTGTCGATTGCGTATTGAGGACAATTAAAAGGGAAAGGAAGGGGAGAGGCAGGGTGGCAGTTAGAGGTATACGTAGGGCCTCGAAAAGGTGGTTTCTTTTTGTTCCGTCTTGGTTTTTGCTTGTATTTCTTTTAAGGTGGGAAAGACATGGCATGTTTATGTAAAGAAGAGAGGGGGCCAGTGAGGAGATGAAAGGAAAGGGAGGGGTTGAAGGATGGAGCAAGGCCTAGAGGTAGCAGGAGGCCAGGGAAGGGAGAGTATTAGAGACACTCGGAATTGGAGAAATACTTTGATGAGAAACTGCAGGGTACATGCAGGCCTGGTGGGTTTGAAACCTTGTTACATGGTACTGTGGTTAGAATGTTAATTATTTACCACATACTTACAGACCTATATTCCTGTGGAACAGCCTGATACCTTTCTTTCCTATGTTTATCTTGTAGTTGAGGATCCTCTTTGTAACTTCCACGCCCCGAACTTCCTGAGGATCTCAGAGGTGGAAATGAGAGGTTCCGAGGATGCGGCAGCTGGAACAGTATTACAGCGGCTGATCCAGGAACAACTGCGGTATGGCACCCCGACCGAGAACATGAACTTGCTGGCCATTCAGCACCAGGCCACAGGGAGTGCAGGACCAGCCCACCCTACAAACAACTTTTCTTCCACGGAAAACCTCGCTCAAGAAGACCCACAAATGGTCTACCAGTCGGCACGCCAAGAACCGCAGGGTCAAGAACACCAGGTGGACAATACGGTGATGGAGAAGCAGGTCCGGTCCACACAGCCCCAGCAGAACAACGAGGAGCTGCCCACCTACGAGGAGGCCAAGGCCCAGTCCCAGTTCTTTAGGGGGCAGCAGCAGCAGCCGCCGCAGCAGCAGGGGGCTGTAGGGCATGGTTACTACATGGCCGGGGGTACCAGCCAGAAGTCGCGGACTGAGGGGAGGCCCACGGTGAACCGTGCCAACAGTGGACAGGCGCATAAGGACGAGGCGCTGAAAGAACTGAAGCAGGGCCACGTCCGTTCTCTCAGTGAGAGAATCATGCAGCTGTCGTTGGAGAGGAATGGCGTTAAGCAACACCTCCCTGGCTCGGGGAGTGGCAAGGGGTTCAAGGCGGGAGGGGGACCGGCCCCAGCCCAGCCTGCAGGTAAAGTGCTGGACCCCCGGGGTCCTCCACCCGAGTACCCCTTCAAGACCAAGCAGATGATGTCCCCTGTCAGCAAGACCCAGGAGCATGGACTTTTCTATAGCGACCAGCACCCAGGGATGCTCCACGAGATGGTCAAGCCTTACCCTGCTCCCCAGCCTGCAAGAACAGAAGTGGCCGTCCTGAGGTACCAGCCGCCCCCGGAGTATGGGGTAACGAGGTGATTATCAAGTCTAGCCATTTCCCTCGGCTTTGCAAAACCCCGCGGTCACATTTTTAGCATTTGTTATTTTCAAGGCCCATTAGGTTTTTGTCATCAGTTTGTTTGTTTTTCTGTATATAATATTTAATAAGCCACTTTTGGGCCAAAATATGTAGAGTAGAACAGAACAGAGGGCAGTTGGGGATTTATGAGTTCAGGGGAGGAGCCTCAGTTGTTGGCTGTCCTTGGAGCTCTGCCTGGTGGCCAGGCAAAGCAGGAATTTTCCTGGCTGGCTCTGTGGACAGCGTCCAAACTCCTGGAACATATTATTACTAAGGGGTTTTATAGAGTCTTTCTTCATTGTAGGTTTTAAAGAAAAATGTAGCCTGAATGCTAGAATGGAGGAGTTAAAGGAACCTTAGAAATCATACCGTCCCATTCCTGTATTCAACGGATGACAAGCTAAAGCCTGGAGAGATTAATAAATTTCCACAGGACACACTCTGAGGCAGCTGGAGCTTGGCTCAAGTATCCTGGTCATTAATGTCCTTTCCCTCCATTATCCTGATTCTTCTTCTGACTGGTTGATGGAGTCAACAGCATTTACTTAGTGTGTATCCTGTGCAGCCCTATACGAGGTTCAGAGATGAAGATATGGTCCTTACTCTCAAGGACCTTACAGCATTGTCTCAGGGGAGACCAGCATCTGAACACATTGCAGTGCAGCGTGCTCTTTCAGGATAGGAGTGTCCAGTGAGCGCTGGATGACTCACAGCTGGAAGGAGTGGGGAGAGCTCCCCAGAGGAGGTGACATTTGAGTTGGGCCTTCAAGGGTAAATAAGAGTTGTGGGGTAGAGGTGAAGTAGCAGGATGTACTATTGCTGGGGGGAGGGGGAGATGTCATTTCTTCAGACATACAGTTTAGGAGGTTTTGTCTGGAATGAGCTGCAATACTGCAGAGCTAGTGGGACAGGGTGTGGTTAAGTGGCAGATGTATTTGGACTTGGAAGCTGAGACCAGTGGGTGAAGGTCTTTAAGTGTTGTAGTATAGAGTTCAGAATTTATCCATAAACAATTGTTTTTAAGTAGAGACTATGTTGATGTGTAATATAAAGGCTGACTTCAGTGGCAGTAAGGATGAATTGGAGGAAAGGAAGATCGGAGGCCGTGAGGACTTTGAGGGACAGTTTCAATAGTTGTAGGTTTCAGGCCATGGTCTAGGGGAGCATTACATACTAAGAGAGGTAGAGAAACAGAATTGACAGGATTTAGTGATTGCCTAGATATGGACATTGAGGGATAGGACAGTTGAAAATAATTGGAAATCAAGCTCTCAGGAGAGAAATTGGGGATTTGCCAGTGTTTAGATGTTGCTAACTCTGCCTGAGGAGAGCATGGAGCATGAGGAGAGAAGACAAGTGGCCATTGCCTATTTATCGGATATGTCTTTATTCTCACAAAGGCCTTTATCTGTTTCTGAATCTAATGTGCTGAGGCTTCTCCATGTGACTATAGCGATTGTGTGCAGGCATACCTGGGCTGTACATCTTCTAAAAAGGGAGTGGCTGGGCCTCGGCAGAGAGAGCTGGCCTACCGTCCACTCAGTGCCCAGGTGCTCACACATTTCCCCCCTTGAGGTAGGGACTGGCAGCTTTAAAGCAGTGAACCAACATTTAGACTTCTGCCAGGCAGCAGAACTCCTTCCTGAAGTGGGCATAGTATGATCCCACTGGGGGATCCAAGACGGGGCTCTGGAGACTCCTGTTCTTACTCTTTTATAGCTCCTTAAACCAAAGGAGAAATTTAAACTCAAAAACTATCAGGTTTGAAGAGGGGGAAAAAATAGTCTTCAGATCTCTGGTATTTGTACCACATTGGTATTTGTACCACATAATTGTTTAAAATAATCCACGGTGTTTTATCCCAAAGAATGGTATCAGAGTTTGATTTGTGATATTTCACATTTTTTTCCTGAATGTTTAACTCAACCTCTAGAGCTTGACAGAAGGTGAAAATATCCCCAAATGAAGTCCCCTTCCTTCCCGTTGGCTTTACTGTTTGTTAAACAGCAACGCATAACAGTGGATCGGTTTGCTTTTTGTCACTTGGCAGCAGATGTGATATAAGGTGGGAGGTGTAGTAAGGGGAGGAGGGAAGCACTTCTTGGAGAGAGCCACCCCTTTATTTGTGAAAGTGTCATTTGTCTCAAATTTGTGACGTCAGAAAGAAGAAGAAATGTATGAGGGATTTGAGCCAGTTGCCAGACTTGGCAGCTGGATTGACATGACATCAAAATGTCCCTGGAGACGTAACAGACAGGCCATTGAGGCTGGGCCCCAGAACCACAAGGCCCCTTTGTGGGCCTGGCCATGGCTAGCCAGAGTGGCTCCAGCGGCACAGCCCTCGCTGACAGAGTAAACAGAGTTGCATCCACACCAATCCTGCTTCAGACGCATTCACTGTGGCCTGAGCTCCAAGGGCTGGATCTGAAACTCTGCAGTGAGTGAGGTTCAAGCTACCTTTGACTCCAAAGATGAGCTGGACTCTCCAGTTTCACTGACACGCTCCCTTGTGCTTAAAGGGTTATCTGTTTGTCGCTAACGGTGATGGTTTAGAAAGCTGCAGGCTGTTGGGTCAGTATATCATAGACTCCTGGACGAAGAGAGGCCTCTGAGTGAGACCATTGAGTCCATCTCCTTGCCTAGTGCTGCAGGAATGGGCTGAATATGTTGTGAATATTTATTCTCACACCTGCTCTGATCTGCTAAAGATGAGATGTGTGGTGCATTACTGTAAAGCACTTTCATGGGAAACGCCATGGAGGGGCCGCTAGTGAAGGCCTGGTGTACCACCTCGGCTTTTGTCGTGGGTGAGCTCGTGAGGCTGGTGGAGATGGAGGGACAAAGGTGAGGTAGCTGGTGGGAATGCCCGGGGAACATGAGCCGACAGTGGATAAAGGCTCTGGTTTGCCCTGTGCCGTCTTTCTTTTCCTGGGACCTGGAAGTGGAAATGGGTAGAAATGAAGACAAGGCAAAAAAATGGGACAGGTTGTCCTATGGAGAATTGTGCTTTAATTAAAAAAAGGCAAGCATTTGGATGTAAGTTCTGACTCACTTGGTGAAAACACAGCACTTCCAGAACAATGACTTGGCTTTTGCCGGCTACACGGGTAACGGACGTGAAAGCATGAATGAATATCGGTGGATGATCTGATTTTTATCAGAGCAGCTTGGAGTACATTAGTCACATGCATGTTTATTTTCCAAAAAAATCTGCCCATATTTCCAAAGTGGAAACTAAATATGTTTAAAAGTTACTTAAAATATCCTACTTTCTTAATATGACCACTGTTAAACTTTTTCCTATATAAATTAACTTTTTCACGTGTTAAAATCATAAATTATATTGAGTTTAGTATCTTAGCTTTTTTTGAATAGTGTTTGATTACAATGTTTTTTCCACCATATTTGTTTTTATAACAAACATTGCTGCATTTCATAAAGTATATAACTTACATCACTTTACAAATAAACATCACCATGTTTATCAAATTTTCCCATATTTTGATTTTATTCTTTAGGAATCATTATTTAGAAATAAAACTATTGGATAGATTTTAGTGAACATTTAATAAAAGGCTTCTGATACTGGATAACTTTGTAAAAATATTACAGTGCCTGTTTCACTGTACTTTGACCAACATTAGGTCATTATAATTAGAAAAACTTTGCTAATTAGTGTTAACTCCTTATTTTAATTTGAAATTATCAGCTAGTTTAAATTTTGGGAGGGTCTATTTTAGTAGTTAGATTTATTTGATCTTGGAAATTGTTCTTCATGTTTGATGTTCATATGGTTTATATATTTAATGAATTCAGAGTAAACTAAAACTGTTCTCTAACACTTCCCCTGATTTTCCAGTTTCTCAAATTCCTTTCTCCCTTTAGTGGGTAACAATGGAGCAGAGGTGGTGTTGGCAGGAAGACTACACCTTTAGTGCCTATGTGTCAGGCACTTTGTGTGGGTTATCCTTAATCTTCCCAACAGTCCTAAGGGGTGCATACTATTAATATCCCTATTTTTATAGATGATAAACCTTAGGCTTAGAGAGAGATTAAAGTAACTGAGTCATGGGCACCAGCTGGGAAGTGCAGGAGCCAGAATGCAACCTGGACCTGTGTGTCACACACTGCGCCTCCCAGTTCACACCATATGTGCGCATGACTACTGTATGCTGCAGAGGACACAAAGATTTACATTTTCACTTGGTGTCACTTACCTGGTGAATTTCTAATCAGATTTATACATCACACCTTGTGTGTTTTTCAGGAGGACCAGAATGCTGATAAAGTATTCCAGACTCTAGGAGGAAAGTCCTCCGGATATCCTTTCTCTCCGGATATCCTGGAAGACTTAGGAGCAAACTCAGCCTTGCTGACGGCTCCAGGCTGTGAGCTCTAGTCTATCTTTAGTTTGCATTTATTTGGAAGTGGGGACTTGGGAGAATATTGTTTATTGCCTTAGCCTGTTTTTGACTGAACCTGTTTTTTAGCAGAATGTTTCAGTTATGGAAGATAAGCACTATTTTAATGATTAATTTTTGAGTTTATAAAAAGTCACTCCTGTTGTTAAAAGGAGCATTTTCCCTTCTTTGAACCTCTCCATTGCCTTTTTTGCCCTTTATCTGGCCTGAGTCTTGCCCGTTCAACATAGGGGGTTTGATTTCCTAGCTGCCTGGAAGCAGAAGGAAGAGTGGTGACTGTTTATTATTAATATTTTATTTATCTATGAACATGAATTTGATTTCTAACATGTAGATGGATACTTTATAAAAGCATGAAATGCCCTTCTGTCCTAAGCTGATGAAAACATCTTATGAGATGACATTAGAGGTGGAGGTGCTGTGGGCTTCCTTCCACAGAGTATGCTTGCTCAGTTCTCTTCATCACCACCAGTTATCACAACCACCATCCTTCCCATCTGTGCAGGGAGCTTGTAGTTCCCTGCATCAATGGAAG